AAACGCACTTAGACTTGGCTTTGGAGCTTTGGCGGCTGTGCTGTGCAGTTCTGGGCTCTGAGGCTCTTGCCAGTGAGATCCAGCTGCTCAAGCAAGTCGTTGCAGTACAGACTGAGATGAGGTTGGGCTTGAGCTCGCAGCTAGAGGTTCAGAGGAGTCGTCTGCCTCACCAACAAACCTGGCCTTTAATACACATGCACACTCGATCGAGCGCTCCGCGGCGAGCGCAAGTCCGGAGATGCCTTGGCTGCAGGCCTCAAACTGATGAGGTGCAGCTGCCGTCAGCTCCGACTGCGGAGCCGCGGTCCGAGATCTTGGCAGCCGGCCAAGGGCCCCCCAAATGAATTCTGCTTGGCGAGGCAGGCGAGGATTGCGGCGGCTTTTGCCAGCTCCTCAGCATTTCCGCGTGAGATTGTGACCATTGCATCTCTGAGTGTCAGGAGGATGGCATGGCCTACAAGAATGACAAGAGTTGGAAAGTTCCACCACGTCAGGCCGAACTGCAGAACTTTGTAGCTCTGCTCTGGGAGATCAGATTTGGCCGATGTGTGTTGTGCTTTGCGGAGGCGAACTCTGTGCAAACGCTTTCCACGAGTTTGCAGCTATTGTCGAAAGAGGACTTCGGGTCGGGTCCTCTTCGTCGCACCCTCTGCAACGACACTTACAGGATCCTGACAAGCTGATCATCGTGCGTCGGATCAACAAACTTGGGTTCAAGGCCGTGCAGAGAGGATGCTCTTGCACCCCGTCTTCCCAAGCAACTCACCAACTAACTAGCTTCCCTAATCGCTGTCGCACTGCCTCGCTGTCTGTCTTCCCGGCTTCCCTACATGTCACTCAACTCTAGTCAACAGGCCTCTCGCAAGCTCAAGCAGTACTTCGGTGAGTGCCAGCCTCAGTTGGTCGGCTGCGGTGAGTTGGCTTTTCAACCAGAGCTTCGGTAGCTTGGACGGCCCGGACGGCAGGTTTGGTCATGTGGTGCGTGTGCTCATTGCGCACGGCCCTCTGCAGAATGTAGAAATGCAGTCCTTTACATGCTTCTACTTTGGCTTCTACTTTGCTAGATTCCAGACTAAGACATGAACTCGTGCACCCGTTCCCAGGCATTCCACATGCCGTGATGTGAAGGATGAAGGGGGCAAGGTTGGCTTTTGGCACCGGCTTTCTGATTCTCGAGCTTGTTAGTCGACGAATTTCGGTATGTCGCAGGTCGTGCAGACCACTGAATCATGCTTTTGCAAGTCACAGACTTCCTGAAGCTTCCTGTGCTTGTGCAGTAGTGTCCGGCCAGGTGCGCCAGCGGCCGAGTAGTTTGGGTTTTGTGCAGATGGCTTCCGCACAGGCAGTACGCCAGGATCCGACCTCAGTTGCACGGGCAAATTCTGAAACGCTCAGAAGCATCGAAGATCGCCCGATCTGCCCAGGCTTTGTCGCTCGGTACAGAGCAAGAGGCCGTGTGAAGATGGATTTCTTCACTGCTCCTGTTGTGACGACCACACCATGTGGCAGGTGGAAGGAGCCGCAATCTTGGTGCAAAAATTTGAGCGACAGCAAACGCACGCCTGGCTCTCGGCAGCTTGCATCAAAGCACATGTCAGGCCAGTAACCTTAAGTTTGTTTCGGACGGCGCGGATGCGACTCCTTCATGCCAGGGAGAGCATAGGAGAGCCACTAAGAAGCAGAGTTCCAAAGATGCCAACACTGCCATGCTGACCAAGGCCACGGCGAAGGACGCGAAGCCATAGCGGGATATTTGCCAATCCTGAAAGAAACCATTCATCTATGAGGTTCTCGCTTCCATGCTCCAAAGTTGCCGAAGGACAAGGTGCCCCTCAACTATGACTTGCCCGACGTGCGGAAAAGCGATTTTTTGCCATCGCCTCGGGTCGACCGAGTCTTTGATGATCCAAGTCGACTGGACGGGAGTTAGCCGGGGAGTTCCTTGCTAAGGCGCCAAGACACCTCCAAGTCGAACGCCTCGACTGCTGCGTCTTCGAGCTTCCAGATCGATCCGGCGGGGCTCTCTGCGTGCTGCGCTGTGTGCAGCATCCCCTGCAATAAGGGCCTGTTGAGCACATGCTAACCTGCCCAGGATGCCTCTTTTTGGCCGCAGAGGTGGGAATACACAGTGCCATCGTAAACACTGTTACACTTGTTTCCAGCATGCAAAGAAGTCGACACTGCGGTGAGGGAATGTCCACACTCTAAGCCTGACTCAGGCTGCTGGTTTCGCAACCTGCATAGCAGGCTGTTCCCTGACGCTCTGGGTTTGGACCCCACCGATGCAGCCTTATGGCTGATGCATTGTCCCGCAGTTGCTAATGAACATTCGTGATAGACATTCTATGTAAGGTTTGCAGTGTTGCTTCTGCTTGTGCTGTCAATTGACATTGTTATGCTTCTCCGGTGTGAGATTTTCGGGGCTCCGCTTGCCTTTGAACAGAAAGGCATCCGTTCAGCAAGCGACCAGACCCAGTTTGTCGATTGCGAGGCCAGGAAACGGAAAAAGAGCTGTTGCCAACGCCTCCAAGTTCACTTGTTTCATCGCAAAGTTTAACGGTCCTTATGTTGTGGTCGAAGATGTTGTTTGATGAAGGCACAGCTCCTTGACCGTGGACAGAACAGAACGTAGTCTCCAAGCTTCAAGCCGTTTCTACACAGTGGCATGGTTACTCGTGGTTCCAACGGCCCAAAACCATTAATGAACATGGGCCGCTAAGCAACCAAGCCGCTGCAGAGATCGTGGCTTTTGGAGCTGTTGGATTCGGGGTCGATGAGCCCCTAGACACATGCCTCGAACCCCTTAAGAGCTCAATGCTCCAAGGGGAGCGGATGTGCTGGCGAACAGTTGGGCTGGTTGTTCTTGTTGTTCCCTGCGAAGCATGGCGGCAGTGCCAGTACGGAAGAGGAAAGTTGGTTTAGAACCACGATAGAGTACAGCCACAACGTTTGCCTAAGCCATTGAGACTTTGACAGGACCACGTTGAGGCCCTTCAGCACTTGACAATGTGTGGCAGGATAGGGAAGCTATCTACACAACTCGGTCTGATTGCTCGATCAGGGAGAAGCTGGCAGGAGATCAACATCAGATATATACTCACAGTCGTCCATGTGGACACCCGCCACATATTGGACTCCGAAGCTTGGACTCGCTGGCATTGCAACTCTGTTGCTTGCTGCATTTCAAGGACCTGCACCGCCCTTCAGACTGGGGATGGGGGCGAGTCAGCCCATAGACCCCCGCTCTAGAGCCGAGTTCCTTTACTTTGAGTTGGGCAACTGAAGGAAGCCTCTTCCAACCTGACCCTGCCACAAGACGTGGCAAGGTGAATGACTCTGTTCGCGGAGTGGGGTCCAGCTGTTGAGACAGAGCACGGTAGAAGCAGCGAGAAGGCAGTTTTCATTCTCCATCATTCTGATCCTCATTCCGCACGCCTCGAATTCGGCTCCGGATGCTGTTATCTGACATTCAGAGATGTGGTACTCGTATCGATCGTGCGTGCCAGTGCCTCCCAAGAAGGCATCCGACACATCAGCCCGCTTGGATCTCCCGAGCTCACCCTAGGGGCTGCTCGGAGATGATGCTGCCTTTTTTGCAAGGCAGCCTCCTGTTCCCTTCCAGCTGGGTCCAATGGAAATTGCTGTCCGCACCACTTGCAGGGCTAGGATCTAGGCCGAACCCTGCAGTGGTGAGCAGCTCTCCTGAGGGTGAACACACCCTGAAGAGACGCAGCCGCATATCTTTGCTCGTCCCATGGCTCATGGGGTGACTGGTCTCCAAAGCCTCCTCGTCAGCTAACGTAGGCTGAGAAGCGACGAATCACAGTGAGCTAGATTGGAAGAAGCCTCGACGAAGGAGGCATGTGAGAAAGAGGACTTGGTCCTGTTTGTGATTCATTTGGGACAAAGCCTTCTTTTCCAGAAGCACCGAGAGCCCTCACATGTCGATATCCCTCAGGTGGACCAGGTGGACTCACAAGCTTGGTGGTCTTTTGTGGGTCTACCTTTGAGTAGCCCCTGGAACGTCACAGAATGGATAGGGATACCAAAAAGCAAAATAACATCATTCTCTCTATGCACTTAGAGAAACTTGCAACATTCTGCAATGCTTCTTCAGTAGATGAACGTAGCTTTAGTGTTTGTCCCACCACCTTTTGCTTGTCCACCAGAGGGTGAGGTCGATGTGGTCGGCGCAGCCCGTCTTTGCGCAGACTAATGAACTGCCGGGGGCCAAGCTATCAAGCGTGATGCAAGTCACACCTGCTCTGAAATCCAGGAAGCGCAGGACGTCTCTCTCTGTTGCATCGCATACTGAGCGTGGAAGACCTGCTTCTCAGGTGTCCGAAATTTGTCGCATTGGGAGAGATCACCATTCAAACTGCAAGGTGCGCAGCGCGTTTGGAAGTAGATGATCCCGTAGAAATGTCGAACGGACATCTGCGTAACCTGCGGCCTTGTTTCCCCATTGCGGCCCTGTACAATGTAGTCGACGAGATTGTACCACGCCAAAGGCGCTCAGAGCCAGAGTCGGTTCCCGTGTAGCACACGTGTGTGAGTAGGAACAAGCACCAGCGGTCGGCCAACAGATATCGGCTCGAACCGCCTTTTCCAGTTTCCCCTCATGCTTTCGCCTCTCGTCGCCAGCATGGCCGCCCCCGGTGCTTCCTCGTCCCGCGCCTTCTCCGAGGCCTTCGCCCGGACTTGGTGGCTGCGCCTCCTATGACGTCGCCGGCGTCTGCGGCTGCCGGTGGTCGGGCGAAGGGGGGGTCGGTTGGCATCGAGCCCAGCACCCGAAATTGCCACAAAGCGGCCCTGACCGCCACGTTGAGGCACACCTGGCTGGCCCAAGCACGGTCTCCGCCGGCGTCGTCGTCAGGTCTCTCCCAACAAGCATTCGGGGCGGGAGGCTCCCCAGACAGCCTCCTCGTGGGCGGGCTGCTGCTTCGTCCGCTGCCCGGGGCACTACAGCCGTCGACCCTGGCTGCAGCAGTAGAGCAGTCATGCCGGCCAACATCAAGCGCTTTAGCTTCGTGACGACAGACGAACTCCAGGAACCAGCTCGCCTACGAGGGCAGTGTCGCCTCGTGGCCCATCACCGTGCAGACGTTGGAGAGGTCGCCGACCCACGGTGGGCGGCCCATTCTACGGACGTCTTCGTGATCGCCGCCTGGTTCGGGTTCGTGCGCATCAGGCGGGAGGCGTTGGCCGAATGGTGCATTGAATGGGTGGAGGCCTGGCACGACCGAACGCAGGATTGGCTGAACCTCGAGCCCTTTCAAGGCCCGGTCCTCCCTCACGGACCTTCGCCCACTCGGTCGGGATCGATCGCCTTCGGCTTCTCTCAGCTCCAGTCGGGCGAGCAGGCTCTGCTCGACGAGCTCATCCAGGCGGTTCGTTGTGCGCGGGTTGGCCGCCTCTGGGCGACTGCTTCGCCGCCTTGTCCTTTGCCAGCTGCCAGGTCGGCGAGCACGGGCACCTCAAGCTCCGTCGGGGCGAAGATTGGCGCCGTTCAGGCCACAACACCACGATGGGCGCCTCGGGTGTGCCCACCCGTCGCTTTCTGGGCGACATTGTCGGCATGATTCGACGAGCCTGTTCGGCCATGACCTTCAGAACGCCTACCGCCGGTCACTGTGGCACGTTCCTCCCGTCCGACTCCGGCGTCATGTTGTGGTTCCATTTCGCCGTGTGGGTAGTTCTCTAAAATAGGGTCCCTTTTGGGCCCTTTTTACAAGGGTGAGAACTACCCACGTGCTTTGGGGCGGCAGCCAGTGTCTGGAACTTCAACCGGGCGGCCGACGCCGTCCAGATGCTCACGAGGGCCATCTTGGTGTGCTCCTGGGCCACTTCGTCGATGACTCTAACGGCACAGAGGGTGCGGCCGTCGCGGACACTGCTCACTTCAGTGTGGCTTCCAAGAGCATGTGGTCCAGGGCATCCACCTAGACCAGGCAGAACAACAGGCTTTTTCTCATGTCACGGCCTCGCGCCTGGCTGGGCGTCTGACCTTTCTGTCACAGGCCATCTTCGGATGCACGGGGCGGGCAGCCATTTTGCCCCTGATTCCCAGGACTCCCTGTCTTGGCCGGCGCGTGTGGTGATCCTGGACGGTGACTTGCAGAAGAAGGTGGGCCACCCCGCCCCTGGGGAAGTGGTCCCCAGGGCGGCCCGATGGCAGAACGGCTGGGGTTTTGTGCTGTGCATCGACGGCCAGGTGTTCTACGGCTTCGGTGTCATCAACCCGAGCACTTGGCGCCCTTTGTCGCCAGGAAGGCGTTCATCTATGTCTTCGAGATGATCGCCCAAGTCCTGCCACTCGTCACCTTCGCCAGGCGCTTGTCGCAGCAATGGAAAGCCTTCATCGACAATGTCGCCGGGCAGTTCGCCCACATGAAGGGCTATGGCAAGGACCTCGGCGAGGCGCAGGGGACATCGACTTCGCCTGCCATCGCGCCCCTGAGTGGTTGTTGGATTTGGCTCCCTGGTATAGGTGCCGGCGCCTGGTGGAGCGTGGGTGTGCCGGGCGGGTACAGAAGTGCGCACCCCGCACCAGCACCGAGCTTTCGGGCGGTGTGCCCAGTCTGTGCTACGACCAAAAGGGGGCCATTGCACCTTAGTAGGAGTTTTGGCTAACACGTCGTTAGTGTAGCGCTTGGTCTGAACCTCGCTGCACACGTGAACCTCGCTGCACACTTGCAAGTTGTAGGTGGCAGTGCCGTCAAGTTGGTAAATACTGTGGGCCAGCAGCGTCTTCAAAACAGCTTTTGAAGCTGACAGCTTTGAGTGAGGTTTGCTCCCTGACCAGGTTTCATAGTTCCCGACTCCACGAGCTTCGAACCAGCCTTCTGGTCAGAGACCCTACCCAGGCAGGGGCTGTGCTGGCTGTGTCCATTTCGCTGATCCCTCCGCAGCTCTCTTCGCCGCACCCCTGCATGTGACGTAGTGATTCGAGTGAAAGGCTTTCCTAGGAATCTTGAGGGCAGATGAGAATGCAAATTGGATTGTGACTAGCGAGGCTTCATACGTCAATGCTACTTGTAGTCAGTCCCACTAGGACTGCTAGGCTACAGCCCGGCAGGTCCTCTTTCTCTCCTCGGCGGGGGCCTTCCTCTGTGGGACGTGGAGTCAAACGCTGGGCAGGAAATGGTGAACTCCAAAAAGCGAGCGCTCGCTTCGCATCACCTTGGTCTTCCGAAGTTCTGCAGAACAATTGATGGACACTTTCCATGGCATTGTTGAGCCGAAGTTACTCTTTGGTGCCGAAGTTACTCTCTGGTCTGACTTTGATACTCGATCAGCGATTTGATTGACCGGCTACAACTTGCGGGCTCAGAAAGCGTGGAGCTGAGCCGACGTTTGGTAACCAAGGGCAAGCTTGTAGGAAGGAAAGCTGCGCTAGGTGAGTGAAGGACAACCCTTCGTCTCTGAGTTTAGACTCCGCAGTTCCGTCCTGACCCTGCCGGAGTCCCCGGGCCCCAGCTCCAGACTCGGCAATGCCAGGAAGCTCTGTGACATACCCACATCGGAACAGCCCAGCGACAGCAACGCACCCAAAGAAAGCTGCAGGATAGTCCGTGATATGAGCGATGGTGATATCTCGGAGGAAGACAGACGAAAACTTCACGAGGACATCCGGAGGTGCATGCAGGAATGTTGCAAAGGTGAAGGTCAGCAGTTTGACAGAGCAGCTCCCTAGTTGTTGACGTGCCTCTCGTGTCACCAGCCTTCCGCAATGGCAGGAGGGCTGCCTGGAGCTATCCAGGCGCCCTGCATGGGAGGTGTGCTTGCTGGTCGATCCCTGATCAGAATCAAGTTGTGGAGTTTAGATCTACCGGTACCTGGCAGTGTTCGGCAATAGGAGGGATTCGACACACCTCCTTGCCAAGGAACAGTACTACTGGCAATTTCACTCGCGCGTGGCCTCCTTGCTCGAGGAGACCCGTGCAAGCTGGGTGGACGATGGCGAGGAGCGTCCGGGCACGGCGGCTGCCTGGGAAGTCAGCCAGAAGCTGGAGGAGGAAGGCCTTTACGTCTCCGCTGTTCATCCCTCCGCGGATGAGGAAGATAATTGGACCGGACCGCGCTTCTATATCTCCATCGTCCCCTCGGCCATCCAGGGCGGGCCTGCCCCCCGGCCACCCAAAGAGGTAGAGGAGCTGCTGTGGCCAAGACCACGCGATCGACTTCAGCCTTGGATTACTGAGCTGGGCTGGACCATGGTGCCAGAGGGATCCAACGAACAGACGCTGCACGCGGACATTTTGTCCTGGGAAGAGGAGCCATCGCGCCCACGCAAGGACGGCCTGGGTCGCTTCCATCACTTCTTGTGGAAGCCGAGCCGGCGCGAATGCTGTACTACCAAAATTGTCCACACCGCCTTCACCGAAGGTTCGGTTGAGGATTGGCACTACGACAGCTTGTCCCAGGTCCAGAGCCCGAGCTTGGTTCTTGACAGCGAAGTGCTGCACTGCGGGAGCGCAACTCGAAAGGACGCTTGGCAAGCAATGCACAGCCACATCTAGAGCCGCCGCTTCGCGTGACCCTTCCAACCAAACACGCTTTTTCAGAGCTATACTTCCACGGCTTGAAGCTGAGGGCTGTTGGTCCAGCACCTGCACCATCCAGCTCTGCTCTGCTCGGGTGGAGCCCTCGGCCTGAAAGGAAAGCCCGAAAGGCATCAAAGGAACGTCACACAGGTCCCCTGGTCCCTCTTGTTGCCAGCGTTTGTGTGGGTGCCCAGGGCTGGCGAGCTCTCCATGCTGATGGTCGCGCCACACAGGCAATGCTGCGCGACTTGCAAGCTGCTTCTCTCCGAGAATCCCGCCCCAGGGAAAGCAACACAGCGTACCAGTGCGTGGACTTTGGGTGACCACTCTCGGCAGGACTTGCTCTGGTATGTGTGGCCGATCGAAGAGGCCTGTCAGCTCGTCTTATAATCGACATTAGCTACGTAAGGGGGGAGGACATCTCTATACTCACAACATAGTATGGTGTGAGCAGTCCCTGCAGGCAGCTGGCAGCACGACCATGTAGAACAAAAACATGCATCAATGCGGCAGGTTGTGGGAGAGTTTTGAATCATTTGTCTCATTGGCGAGGGGGTGTACGGCTTGTCCATCCCTGCTGACGCCGTGAGATGATGCGGATCATACAATCTGCAGCCACGGAGGTTCAATTCTGATTCTTATTAGTTTGTTTAGAGCTCTTCCCTGCTGTCACCAGTACGAGTATGCGGGGCCGCAAGGGCACTTGCTGCCGATGATATTCCTGCTGTGGCAGTTCTCGCCGATGCCCGTCTCTTCATCGAGACTTGTCATAAGCAAAGCTGTGAAAATTTCCGGGCCGCGAGCGCGGCAAGCCTGTCCACCATGGCCACAAGAACAGGGACTGCTGAAACTATTAACAACTCTAGTAGGCTTAGCTGGTCGAGGTTGCGTCTACCGCCATTGCAGACAAAAGTGCCAGAAGTTGAAGCAAAAAGGGAAGACAAGCCCAGCAAGTCTGTTCGCAAACACAAGCGGAGACATCGGGACAAGGCTGCGGCCAAGACAGAGACTTCCCAGCAGCCCAGGACGGCTGGAACGAGCGCAAAGCTGTCTAGCAAGCCAGCGAACACGTGCGGACTCGAACGCGATGAGATCGTGAAGGGTGCTACCTACACATGGTTGCGGTGCGGTCTTCTGGGCCGTGGCTCCGTGGGCACAGTTTGGAAGGCGAGGATTGCCAGTACAGGGGAGACCGTGGCCGTGAAGGAAGTAGATTTGGACAGGGATTTGCAAGTCCCCAGTGAAATCGCGAACGAAGTCGCCACCCACCGCCAGCTCAATCACCCCAACATTGTCAAGCTGCTTGGCACGGATGCAGTACTAGCCAGATACTACATCTACTTGGAGTTCATGGCCGGAGGGTCATTGCGGCAGGTGTTGAAGCGTGACGGGCCCTTGAGAGAGGTCCAGATCTGCAACTATGCCTCTCAGCTCGTGAGTGCTCTGAGCTACATGCATCGGCAGGCTGTACTACACCGAGACGTGAAGACTGGCAACATCCTCCTTACGGAGGACATGAAGGGCGCAAAGCTCGCAGACTTTGGGTGCTCAAAGAAGTCCAAAGTTAGCGCCAAACACACTTTTCGAGGATCTGTTCTCTGGATGGCCCCTGAGATTATTAATGGTGAGAAGTATGGTTGCAGAGCCGATATTTGGAGCTTGGGATGCACATTGATTGAAATGATTACAGCCCAGCCCCCCTGGGGCAAGTTTTCCTCGCAAATGGCGGCCATGATGCATATTGCTTGCTGCGACAAGTCGCCACCACTCGAAGAAGAGGTCAGTCCCCACCTGCGGGACCTCGTGAGCATTTGCACGCGACGGGCTCCGAAGGAGCGCCCTCGAGCCTGCAAGCTTATGAACCATGACTTCCTGAATTCGTGCGGCCGTGAGTTGCCCATGGAGCTTACTTGACACTGGGAGACTCGAAGACCGGGAATCTTCGTGTCAGGTTAGTTATTATGCACTCAACTCCGAAGTTCTCGGCCAGGTTCTTTCAGGCATGCTTGAGAACCACGCTTTCAGGCTTGCAGCAGATTCGTTTGGGTCATGGTTCATGGGATATCATGGTATGCAATTACGCAAAGACAAGGGCACCCCAAATCTCTTTTCAGCAAAGGTTGTTGTTGCCCACAGGCTGGCCGGTGCTTCTCTGTCCTGTATCAGTATGAGATGCGCAATTCAACGGCTCTTCGGTTCAGATGTGGACGGAGCATTTAAAGGCTCTGACAGCGATGTGAAATGGAGTGTGGAAATGGCATGTGCGGGAAGTTATTACCCCATCCTGTTGTCCGGACTGACTGCACAAGCTCCCGGAGCCGCACATGCGCTTCTAAATGAAATACGCTGGCGGATCCCTTCAAGCTCTGAAGGCCCCTCTGAAGCGTCCAGCTGCACCCAGCCAGTGGCACCGGGATGCGCAGGCCCTCCGAGATGGGGTCTCAAAGGTCTGCTTCCTCACTTGCCACTTTTCTCACTAAAACTTCCTGGAACTTGATGCTGGGGTTGGGGCCACGTATATACATCTTCATCATCACATGTTAATCATCTTCATCCCGTATGGTCAGCCTCGTCGTCCTCGTCCTACTCGAACTCGCCTCTCTGCCTCTGCAATCAGTGTGCAGCATTGTTCCTTGCTGTCGTCATCTTAGAGTCTTCATGACATCCTGGCATAAGACTCGGTCCATCAGGTTGCAAGCTTCCAAAAACGCTTACGGCCCGTGTACCGGTCGCAGCTGTCAAACCTCTCACACACACTGTCAGGGGCTGGGGCCTTCTGTTCAGATATGCTGTTGTCACGAGCTGGCAGGTGGAAGCTCTGTGGGAGGCCTGCCGTGGGACATGTGCAGTCTGCAAGATCTTGCACACAGGCAAAGGAGCCTGCGCATGATGTCGTGCACGATGGTTGATCCTGCGAAGAAGTGCTGCAAGACTCATGACAGGATGGCTACTGGTATGCTGCCAGGCACACGATTCCGAAGCTGGCTTTACAGAGTGTTGTATTTGCAGTGTCATGATAGCCAGGTTTCGGAGTGACAGCTGGAGTTGTCTGTGCACTTGCAAGTTTCCATCGCAGTTCGCCTGCGCAGCAATGACTCTGCTAGGATCGTGAAGCGCCAGAAGGATGGCCGCTACAAGGTGAGATGGGAGGGCGAGGACTGGGAAGCGCACCGTGAAGCCGACATGAGCTCAGGATGAAGGGAGGTCTCACATCTTGCAGAGTGAGCAACCAGCTGCCCACACCCTTGTCAATGCTCCAAGCCTAATGTTGCTCAGTGGGTTTCGAGGACACGGTGGCATCGGGCTTTTTCGCCGCCCATCTGCGTGTACCACCGGCCAAGACTTGTTCCGTTGCGACGGATGAAGGCCCCTGTGTTTGGCTTTGCCAGGCTCGGCAGCTTGATGACGCTTCGTCGGCTGAAAGGCCTCGACCTGGCAAGCGACGGCGCAGGGAGTAGCCAGCATAGCATGGCATAGCCGTGGCACAGCCTCCAAAGCTCTGCTTCCATGAGCTCTGCGGCGGAAGTTCGGCCACGATCAAAGACTCGGAGCCTGAAATCGGACGAAGTAGATCCTCCGTGCCGGGCTTGAGGCTTTGCCTGCAGCATCTTGTGGTGTGTTGGTTCCGGTTAGTGACAGCACTTTCCACATGCATTTTGTGACATGCAGTGAAGATCTCGAATTTCACCTCTGCAGCTTATCCCTCTCTGCATTACGCGGGTTCGTCCAGAATCCTGCGTCTGCTTACTCAAGAGAGCTTCTTGTCTGGTGCAGTACGTCTCCTCCTGCGAAAGATGAGTGCTTGGGAATTCTTGGGAACAGGATGAAGATGCGTTTCCCTTCACGTGGCTGCGATGAGGACAATCGCCAAAGCTGAACCCACTCCGGATGCTACATCTGAGCCTTGTTCCACATTCAGCAAAAGGCTGTAGAATCACGCAGAGGTAGCTTGAATACGCAAGAGAACTGTCGTGCCATGGGCCTACTTCGGCTTCGTCGGCCACCGCCGCTGCGACGGCGCAGTCCCCAGGGCGAGCTTTGCCGACGTTGTGGGCTTCACGGTTGTGGGTTTCCAGAGGGCCAGACAATTGTCGAAGCCCGCATCAGATCTCCAGCTTCAGGTTGCGCCTTCTGAAAAGGAAGCGGCGGCCAACCGCGAGTCTTATCGCCAGAGCCTTAGCCTGAATTGTCAGATCCGTCCCTTACTCGAGTGTGATGTTCAAGGGTGGGTTACGCAACCTGGGTTTTACATCAGGCACATCAGCTGCTCGGCTTGCGAGTGCCGCAGCAGAGTGCCTGTCGAAAGTCTTGCGAGAAACAAGCCCCAACGATACAAACGACGTTCGGCTTGGCTGGAATGGCCTTGTGTTTTGTTGTTGCGGGTGGCAGCTTCTTGATTGCTTTCTGAATGTGGCGGTGTATCATCAAGCTAGCTTCGTTCTTAGTCCGTGCCCAAGTGCCGTATGCATGGCCTTCGATAGTAGAGGACGTGCATGTTTCTGCCAAACCTGAGGCTACTTCTGCGCAGCAGGACAACTCCTGTCGCTCAAGTCCTGATGATCTGCCTGAAACAATGCCTTTCGCCCGGACCCATCCTTGCGCGCACAGACCGCGTAGAGTGGCGTGCTGCGCGTAAGGTGACTCCGACTGACGTGAGAACCGAAGCTGCGTACAAGTGCAGCATGGTAGCCCCTACACTGCCCTACACGTTCTGACCTAGAGAGATGTGTGGGCAGCAGAAGATGGCGAGCGACCTGCTCAGGCAGCGGAACATCGCTTTGGAGGCCAGACCCGGTGTCGCAAAAGAAGTGTACCATCCTTCACTCCTGTGTTCGAGTCATTCAAGAGTGGAAGCCAGACACTCCGGCAGCGGCTTTTGGACGGCAGGCAGTCCGTGTCGGAAACTTCTACGCTGAAGACCAGCAAGAAGTGATCCGCTACATTGCGGAGGCCGATAGGCAAGATTAGTAAGCTGCTTCGAGCTTTCTGAGGGGTGCGAAAGGCACTTGGGAAGCCAGGTGCATGCTGACCTGCTGGCGGATGCTCAGTGGCTTCGGAAGAACCGCGGCAAACTGAAGGCAGAGAACGGTCTGACAAGGTGCAGCGCCGAGAGCACTGGGAACTTGCAGAATCCAGAGCGGTTTAGGTTGAGGCTCAACGTAGCTAGCGGAGTACATGGGGCACATCGGTTCAGGAGACTTCCAAGCAGAAGCTTCGGGCTTCAACGCAGGTGCTGCGCAAGTTGCACCTTTGTGCACGGCACTGTCCTTACAGCAAAGGCAATCGACTGATGATGATGATGATGATCTCATGAAGGCCCCGGCTCCATCCTCTCGAGGCCTTTGCACCCAGGTTATTGCCGCTCGCTGGACCTGACCAGTCTTTCCCAGCCTTTCCCGCGTGACATTTTGCCTGCCACAGTGGGTTTCAGAGGCGATATTCGGTGCCGGAGATCTTGTGCAAGAAGCATGAGGCCTGGGCTTTATTTGTGCTGTGGAGGTAGGCAGGGGGTTTCTTCAGAACGTGACAAACCACATGAGGTGGATGGCTTCGACATTTTCGCAGACCCAGATGAGGCAGTCCTATTGGCGGAGCGCGCTGCAAAGGCCCATGGGCAGAAGTATTTCAGCTAGTAGGGAAGACGAAAGATCCTGAACAAACCTTGTTCACACTGGCTGAGCAACCTGTAGAAGCATCGGGCAGGAAGGCGAGAAGACTTCGCGACCTGAGCTTGGATCCTGGTTTGGTTGCGGGTTCGTCCACCAAGCGGGAACTGGTCGACTGCCTTTCCCTGCTTGCCGGACCTAGATCACAAGCTCTTGGGCCCGATATCAGGCTGCCACCGGAGGAGGCACAGCAGATTCAGGAGGCGATCCACGCATGTGCGCATGCGTCCCAGATTTAGGAAGTGTACACCCAGGCCTTTAATCGTGTCTTTCTATCAGTGCAATCTGCAGTATACAAGCGGTATTCCTCAGCACTTGGTTTATACGAATTGCGGCTGCAATGCCAAGGTTTCAGATGTAATGTGAAGTCTGCATTATACCGGGCCGCATGTTTAAAAAAAGTAGACAACTCGGCAGCTCGCTAGAGGTCTTCTAAGAAGATGAAGAGAACAGGGAAGCATGTAGACAGATGGTACGCCTTTTTTGTGTCAACCTGCCGCACAGAGCTTTGGCATCTTGCGCAGGGCCTGGACGAGGTGGTCGCGTCGGCAGCCGGCACTGGCGGACCCGTCGGCTCTGACGAGGTGCCAAACTCATACCCGATGAGTACTTTAAAGGGGTTGAGGGCTTCCATGCACGGGAAGCTCTTTGAATTGCTGGGTAGTTTTCAATTTGTCTGTTTTCCGTGACCTCTGGTGGTTTCTATAGGCCCCTCTAGGCTCTGAGGCGTCTGCACGTTCTCTCCCTTGCCTCCTCTTCGTCTCTCTCTGTCCCTGTTTCTCGCTCGTTCTCTCATTGTCTCTCTCCGTCGCTCCCCTCTTCTCATCTTCTTCTACACAGCCGTCTCCGATGGATCGATCTCGCTCTCTCTCTCTCTCTCTCTACCTCGCGCTTTCTGTTGACTGCCTGCACCCCTCAACCACCCATCGATCCACCCGCCAATCCCTCCACCCGAACCCCCCAGGGTCCATCTAATTCGAAGGCAAAGCCTGTCGTGTGTCGATCTTCATGGTCCCAGCATCCTTGGATCAAGTGCTTTAGGCAACTGAAAGAAGCCATTGCAACTGAAAGAACCCACTGCATGTGCATGCACCAAGTGGTGCACTAGCACAGGTCTTGACAACCACAGACAGACGAAATGTACCGTGCGTCAATTTGTGATTCAAGTCTCGAAGAGACGGGGGGGGTGGGACACTGGTGGATCCACTTGGTTTTGAAGATGAGAGCAGAGAGCAGTTCCCGGCAGGGAGCAGATTGCCATGTCCTAAAAGGAATCCCCTAAGCCCCAAACCCCAAACTTCCTAAGCCCTAAACCGTTTCTCAGGAAGAAGCGCAGGCGAGCCGTGAGGGGCTCCGTGGTTCCAAACCCCCACAGGAAAGAAAAAGAAGCGGGTTTCGGGAGGAGCATTGGGAGACGGTTACATGATAGAAACCGCAAGACCCCTGGACCTCTCGGCTTCGATGGATTCGGGAGACATCTCAAGCATGAAGTGAGCTTCCCAAAGGGTTTATGCTTTAAGGTTTAGGGTTTTGTAAAGTGCCGAAACGTGGAACTCTTGGGCTTTGGGAGGTGCTTGAGCTGCTGGAGCGTGCAGTGGCTGGAGGGGAGGCAGAAGATGCTCGTTTCAAAGAGTATGTTAAGCAGGCTTAGCTTGAACGTGCGAGCTTGAGAGCAAGGACGGACCTTGTAAAGCATCACCTCTTTACGTGTCGCTTCTTCCTGCAATCCGTGGAATTGCTGCAGGCAGAGGACGCATTCCAACCTCTTGCGTTATTCAGGAATCCCGGATAGTTTAACTTGAGTTCTACTGGCTGATATGTCGCAGGATGTTCGTAGCATCCGCTGTGCTTAGACTGTTGGCTTCTCCTGCGCTTTCATGCCAAAAAGCAACCGAGGAGCTGATTTTAGTCTGAGACCTTCCAGATGTAGAAGACTTGAAGACCTTCTTGCAGGTTGCAGCTTCCGTGTACTTGAGTGAGCGCATTGAGGCGAGATGCATCAGGGTGCTGAGAGCCAGATTTGCTCAGTTCTCCTGGTTCTTGTGCAGGATCATGAATCATGAGGTGTTCGCGCTCTTGTTGAGGCTTTTGCACTGGACGGCTCTCGCGCGATGGAGCTGTAGACAATGAGTGCCCATAGGAATCAGTCCAATGAGTACACGAAATCCGTGGGCATCCGTGGGCAGAAGGAGCATTAACGTGGGAAATTGCTTAGCTCTACAGTGCAAGAAGCCCGTTTGTCCTGTCAAAGCCAGCCTCTTGCTGTCATGTTGTGCTTCCGACACATCTGCGCGTATGCCATTATCGCCGCGACGACCCCAGAGGCGCAGTTGCAGTTGGCATCGCCGCTGACGACTACACCATCGCCCAGTGGCCAGGAGGCTGAATGCGCCCCAGCCAAATGGAGAACTTTGTTTGAGTAGAGCTTTCAAAACGTTGTGGGAAGCTGTGCTAACTTTAACTTAACCTCGAAATTGCCGGCATCATAAAGTGGAAATCGCAGCAGAGGTCCTTATTGCATACAGACAGATGGCAAGTGCTACTTCCCCGACAGGGGCCAGCAAGCTTGGTGGGAGAACGATCATGACAAAGCCTGCAGCGACTGCTCGCTTTGTAACAGCGAAAGTGCCAAAGGTTGGAAGAAAGTCGAAGATCACGATTGGATATTCGCGATGCAAGGAGCTGGCTGCACCGTTAAGAATTCCCTGGGAGAGGAGACAACAGACTGCTTAGAGTCCGTCCAGGATCTGCACACGGGGAAGTATGAACGAGGATCGTCTTGCAGCGTTCTGCTCAAGAAAAAAAAGTACCTGACCTTTGATTCCTTCCTCACAGAGAAGAGCTGGGACCGTCTCAAAGTAGTCGACCTCAACGAGTCCGAGCATTTGCTTCACAGCTGGAGTGGGGAGGTGGGATTTCAATTTTAGGCTATTTTTATTTTAGGTGACACGAGCGCTCGATGGTGAGCGAAACTCGCTTAACGTGCCGCCCCAATGGGTCATGATGTACGTACAGTTGGGCACACCAGCGCCGCTGCCGTTGTGCGGGTGACGCGGTGTCCACCGTATCCCCAGTAAAGTTTGATTGCCCTCTGCCTGCAAGGTGAAACCGGCTGCCCGACTCTTTGAGAACTCTTGGCAAATCCAGTGGAAAGCAGACTTTTCCGTGGAGAAGATCCGCTGCTGCACATACCCGCTTGTCCTTTGTTGTGTCGTCGAAGGTTTCGACAAGCTAACCTACACCTTCGAGTATGTCAATGTAGCTATTGTAGGCTACTGTAGCAGCTGTCAGATAAAAGTTGATAGAAGCATGCTTGTTGATTGCAGCCGCCACCAACACGGTGACAACATCGCTGGTGCGAGCTGGTTCCAGTCCCAAACCTGAGGACTGGCTGGAAGCTTTGCAGTGGCTGTCCTACCGGCAGCCATGATGACTCGCACGGAAAGTGCAAATGCTCCCCGGGCTTCGTCTGCAAGGATCGGAACCAAAGACAGTTGCCGATCCCTGGATGGGATATCAGCTGGATCAAAAACTGCTCGCACGCAAACAACTCAGACGCGACTCGGCTCGACAAGAAGGGGTGTCAAAAGAAAGAAGGTAGTCCTTGATTGGGAAAGCAGCCGAGGCAACCTTCACACCGGACGAGAAGGGCATCCAATGCATCAGCGAGAGAGAGGAGTTCACTGTTTATGTTGCTGTCATGCTGTCGGGCGCTTTTGAAGTGTCCGCCATGCTCGTGCTTTCATCGACAGCCTACCTTTTGCCGTTGTGCCTTGGGCTGTACCTCCTTGCAATGGTGGTCTTCACAGTTGCATCAACCTGTAACGATTTCGAGCCTCAGCTCAAGATTTGCTTGGCGTTTGGGCCTTCCCCTCATCTTTACAGTATGATGTGCAGCTGTGCTAGGAGCAGTGAGATGTAAGGACACAAAGAGCTGGGAAGCAAAGCTGCGTGGCTTCTTCGCTGAGTTTTTTGTGGCAACAAACGAGTGTTGGTGCCGCCGGCGTGGTGCTATCGTCTATGCCTCGCTCCTCTCCCTGCTGATGGCCTGTTGGACATTTTGTTTCCCGGGAAGCCCCGTTTTCTTGTGGCCATGGGGTATCTTCTATGTCACTTCATTGGTGGCTAGGCTGTGATACACCGCGAGGTGAACACCCATTGTGTCATGCTTTGGAACACAGGGTCCCGAGCCAAGGCAATCTTCTTCTATCACCGACGTCTGGCCTTGGCTGCCGAGGAGGCTCGAAGATGTCGGTCCTTGTCTCCCGACATCTCCACGAAGCTCGTTTCCCCTCCCTGCTGAAACGTTGATGCACGAAGTCATCTCCTCATGCCCCCTGCCATCGCATTGTCTGCAGGCCAAGCAAACGCTCTCGTGTTGGAGCTGGCAATGCTGCCTTTGCTGTCTGTGCTGCTGGAATCCTTTGGGCTCCTGTCTGCCGCTGACAACCTCGGAAACCTTGGAGAAGGCTACTCGGGCACATCTGCGGAGCCAACAGGAGATGCAAGAGATCCATGAGCCCTTGATGCCATCAACGGCTCCCGGCGACGCCGACATCAGTTCCCCTTTGCACCGCCTGCTTGCAAAGTCGAAGGCGGACGTTGACAAGGAGCGTTTGCAGATGCAGTTGTTCCAGCACCTGGTGGAAAGGGCCCAGAAGTCCGAAGGCTTCGAAGAAGCGTCTGCCAGTCGCCCAGGCACGACCATGCTCTGGTTGGCGAAGTGGACGGTGCAACAGCCCGGAGCGAACATCGGCAGCTCAAAAAAATGCCACGCAGCCTGTGCTGAGCTTCTCCCGATTCTGTACTCCTTCCTGTGGTCGCTTGTAGTTGCAAGGATCTGTCTCGAGCACCAAGACGGCTTTATCCAACTACTTCTTCCGAGCGCGTTGGGGAACTTCGCCCCGATCCTCGCTGACTACGAGTTCGACCTGGGTATTCTCCCCACTTGCCTGGCTGTGCACTTTGCTTGCATTGCGCTCAGCAGTCTTATCGAGAGCAGGGCGGCCGCACAGCGCTTGCGCGAGTGGCTCTACACCTATGGACCTCTTGAGCAGTGGAAGGAGATGTACCCGAAAGCACATGAGATGTCCGATGTCACCTACACCATACAGGGCCAGGGGGATGATCCAGCGCAGGTTGATCCCAAGAGTGACACCACTCCAGACGACATCTGCGGCTTCAAAGTCTTCCGAAAAAATGCAGCCCTCCCGAGCTCCAGAGAGGTTACCCTGAAGGTCGTAGCAACGGCTGCCACTTTGCTTAGTCTGGGTGGAACTTTGTTCTATCTCAGATACATCAGCTACGGCTTGCGGGAGGCCAGCGGGGACTGGCAGATGAAGCGCACCTTTGCCGTGACGTACCCCGTCCTTTTCTACTTCCTCCTCTGGTTGCCTCTGGTCTGGCATCGGCTTTTAAATGGGATTCTCTTTGCGGCTGAATGTTCCCTGCTGAAGCGTACTGCCAATGTCTTCTTTGACGATGTCTCGGCTGGAAAGGAGACGAGGGGGGATGTGAAGGCGCTGCTCGAGACACTGGGATGGAAGGTTCAGGACATTCTATCAGACTGGAGGCTGCTGGTGAAGGTGGGCTTCGTCCTGGATGGCTTTGCTCTTGTGACCGGTGGGATGGCGAGCTATCGCCTGCTGATCCACTATGAAGTGACCCAGTTTGTTCCGGTACTTGCTTGCAACTGCCTGACCATCCTTTCCTTCCTTTGCCTGCAAGTGGTGCCCATGGTCATGTGGAATGCCTTTCTCGAGGAGGCTGCAGGGAACGAGGAAAACACCGACCCTGTGCTCTACATGTGGCTGTCGCAAGGCTACCTGAAGATGCAGGTCTTCGGGCTCACCCTGAGCCCGGCTTACTTCTTGGGCCTCGTCTTGTCGCTCGCTGCACTCGCAGAGCCCTACATCTCGGACGTTGTCACTCCGCCCCTGACGGAGATGCTGACACAGTGATTGAATGCACGCCAATTCGACCTCTGCTTTTCAACTGGCACACTCCTGGCATTGCTGCAATGATCTGCAGTGCCGTCCTGCGCCGTGCATGCTGCCGTTTAATCACCTTCTGTTTAATCACGCAGAGTGTGACCCCGAACCTCTGTTCCTTGTCCGGCCAACAGCTGTCTCTTTGGATTGTTGCTGCTCCAGAGCGCTTAGAATGCTCTTTCTTAGTGAACTCACCGCTCACCTTGCCAGTTGCCGTCGAGACAATCGCACTTCCCAGGCTTTCCACGATGGCAGGCTCTCCCAGGAGCTGGCTGACAAGCTGTTCCAGGCCGCCTGCAGATGCTTCCGGAGACCTGACACCGCTTGAAGCCTCTTGAATGGGACCTGGACGATGTCGATGCCGTCTGGTCGGCGTTCCCGTTTCCATGCCTTGCTCCGCGAGATCCTGAAGCCGCTGCTGCGCCCCACTGCTGCCGCAGTGAAGCCTCGGCTGGCTCTGCCCTCAGAGTCGAGCCGCTGCATCGGGGCCTGTGCTGTGGCAGAGCCAGGCCGGACCGTGGTTGAAGTCCCCTTCGGGCAGGTTTGGTGCGTGCCGGTCTCAGCATTGCCAGGGCTTCGGGGTGAGTCCGTTTATTCCAACTGACTCGCATTGTAGACTGGCTACTTGTTATACGGTGTTATACGAATCATGAAGCATTCGACGATCCTTCAACTGCTTCGGCCGCTGGAATCTGCATCACAAACTTGTTTGTTTATGGGTGTGGTGGTCTTTTTTTCGTGAGGTTTTTTTGTCATTCGCAGCTGGCAGGGCCAACCCTCGCAAGGGCTTGGGCCGCTTGCTCGACCGCCTGGCAGTGGCGAGGAAGGATGCCGGACACCGATGGGGCATAGCCGGGGGGTAACGGCTAGGCGCCCTTGGGTATTTCAGTGGGGAACTTGTCGATGCTAACTGAAAGCTTGGGGTTTCCATGGTAGAGTGTGCCCAAATCCCGCCCTTTAGCCGCTCTTTCTGGTGTTGATGGGCCTCAGGTCGAGTAAGATCCCGGGCCTCTGTTATAGCCAGACACAGCAGCACCTTGCAGGGCTGTGCTTGCAGAGACCAGCATCCTCCCTCATCGTAATCTTGCAAAAGAGGAGACAGAGGAAGCCCCCCTAAACCCTCAACCCTAAACCCGAAACTCCAAACCCTAAGCCCTAAACCCCCAAAACTTCAAGACCCAGGCTCAGACCGAGGCCAAAGTCGCCGAGGCCTCCGAGGCGACGAGGGACCCGGAAAGGGACGAAAGGAGTGGAAGCGAAAGGCATTATATTATATTATATTATATTATATTATATGATATGATATGATATGATATGATATCATATCATATTATATTATAT